ACTGTTTGTAGGGTCCGGAGTCGTTCTTTGACGCTCACAAGGACATCTACAACTTATTAGATGAAGAGTTCTACCCATCTTTTATTGTCAGTGACTTTTATCTCCAGTACATGGGAAGTTTTGAAGAGTCAGAAGATGTTACCATGGATACCACATCAGACTATTCTGATAGAGGGGGTAGTTTACAGGTAAAAATTTGTGTCTCAACCAATGATGTACACTTTGCATTTTTTATCAGCATATTGTTCATAATTGTATTTTTTATGAATAAAATGTCAGGAGGAAGATTTTTCTGTGGATGAAACTGACAGTAATGAGAGCAGCAGCATAGCGGAGCAGACAAACTATGCTGTCAGTACACTGCAGATGTTGGATGAGAGACTAGCCAATAAAATACATACATGGCACAGTATCAAAAACTCACAGAGACCTGATTCTAAGGTAAAGAAAACATAGACATGTTTTTTCTTTTCAAACATGTCTATATTAAAATGTGAATTTATCAATTAATTATTGCTGATTGCTATCTTCTCTTGAATGAATGTATGTGGAGATATCTATTCTTGTACAAGTTTTGCACATTTCCTAACCATATATGGTAATATGGGTCAAAGATCTCAACCATATATGGTAATATGGGTCAAAGATCCCAACCATATATGGTAATATGGGACAAAGATCTCAACCATATATGGTAATATGGGACAAAGATCTCAACCATATATGGTAAAATGGGTCAGAGATCTCAATCATATATGGTAATATGGGACAAAGATCTCAACCATATATGGTAAAATGGGTCAGAGATCTCAACCATATATGGTAATATGGGACAAAGATCTCAACCATATATGGTAAAATGGGTCAGAAAGATCAACCATTCATTGTCATTGTTGTTTACATCTCTATATTTGGCGGTTTTGCAGATTTTACTGAAATTGGAACGTGACATAGAGGCTATGAGATTAGAACGACGTCAGTTGGAGTCGCACATTGACCGTACCGATATGTGGTGTGAATTTATGGGACAGTGGCAGGTTAACATCTGTAACGCAGAGGTGAGCAACTTGTGTGATGTAATAACATGTCATCCATGGTACAATATGTGAATAAAGTGATTGGGCAGATGATTGGTTGGTTGCCATTTATTAACTCAAATGTTTTAAAAGTTGTTTGTTGGTTAATTATTATATCTTTCATATGGCAAATCAATATAAACTGTGTGGTTCTATGGCCTCCTTTATCCACAACACCCTACCCACTACAGGAGATCAAACCAAGAATGTAAAATACATCAAAGGTAGCCCGAGAAGTAAAACAATAAGCCTTGTTTTAGAAGATGAACTTTCTCAGTGAAATTACTGAGAATCATTCCTCTCATTTTTGAGATGAAATGATAAGTATACACTGTATCAGTGCCATATTTGCTTATTAAGGATACTGGATACACTAAAAAGCTTAAATATGTCAGTCATGTCATAATTATGGTATATCACATACTCTGTATACACATGCCTTCATTTTTGTTATCATTCATTAGGTGATACAAGAACAGGATAAAGTTGTCCCTTATTACGTTATTGTTGTACACCTGAATGAAACCACAACACAGGAAGTCTACCAATCTACCACTGGATGGGTTGTGTCCCATCAACTCAAGGACTTTTATAACCTGCATGAAAGACTTAAAGAGGTAAAAAAAAATGTCATGCTGCAAAATAATTTAAGTGATGAATCAAAAAAATATTGAAATTGTTCAACTTGGCTGGCATTCAGGTATTACACCACAAATAGAATTGTATCAATACTCTGCAAGGCATGCTTGTTTTGTTGAATGTGATATCAGAAAACTAACCCTTAGATTTGTGAGTGGAAATTTAATGGTTTTAAAGCGGTGCACTGACATGTTTAGATGGTGTGTTCAATTGGGTCTTCTTTTATAATATGTACCAGTGTGGTTGAATTAATTTTATTTCAGTAACTTTCAACTCATGTGATACTCCTTAATTTTTTTTCAAAGACTTACCCTGATTGGATATCAAAGCCTAACATGTAATTGGCAAGCCAATCATAGAGCATCTTTCAATCATTCTGTGTTGACACTTTGAGCACCATTGTCAGCTTTTGGCACCATTTACAATATGATTTTGTGTAGTCTGCTCCTTCCTACTTGGAATATTGAGAAAAATTTACAGACCTTTTGATAAAAAATGAAAAGCAATATATGTAACTGTCTGTGTGACTCAAAATAGTGATGTAATTTACTAAATGTGTAGCATGTTGAACCCCGTCACCTTGTCAATCATGTCTCACTTCTACTTGTTAAATTAAGGTAGAAGCCTACTCATGATTACAATTACTCATGATTTATTCATTTTCCAGTAAATTGTACTTCTAGGCAATATAAAAATATTGACTTAATAAACAAAGTTGGGGGTCACCAGCTTAATTAATGCCATATCTCAAAATATAGCCTAGTGACATAGGCTGAACAAATCATATATTGGTAATGATGGAGTACCGGTACTTTTTGTTGTGCTGAATTATTTCAAAAATCTTGGTTTTAAAAAGTGTCAATAAATATATATTTTTTTCTTTAACATTGTGCTCTATGGAATTTTTTAAAAATATTAGGAAAGATTTCTCAAAATATGCAGAATGCTATTTCATGGTTCCATGAGACACTAGCGTCACTATTTTACATAATGAACCATTGAACATTGTCATGTGATTTATGACCAACTTTCTCAAAAGTTATTAGTAGGCTTCTACATTAATACACTCTGATGCATTGTGTTGTCATTGTTGCAGTGTTGTAGTTGGTTACATCGCATAGAACTACCTCAAGTCAGTAAAAGTCCATTCAAATCATCAATTGACAAAGAATTTCTGGAGAAATCCAAGAAACAGTTGTCAGATTACCTCATAGTAAGTATTCTCTGTGTAATTTGTTATTATCAAAATGATGAAAATATTTTATTTATTGCATCAACAATAATAAAAGAAATCAGCGTCACAGGGGCCCAAGCTTTCGAACATATATTCCAAAAATAATGAGGTCAAATGATACACATGATACACAATTGGTTAGTTTGAATGATTAGTACCATGAAGTCGAAATGCAGTTGGTTCCATATATATGTTTGAGATATAAAGGTTATGCCTATTAATGAGTTCACATGACCATATATGGTCATCTGTTATTTTAATCAAATCTCTTGTTCAATGTTGTCATAATAACATAGGATTCATCTTCCTAACTGCAACAGTGTTTGAGATATGACAGTTATGCATATTAATGAGCTCACATGACCATATGAGGTCATCTTTTATTTTAGTAAAATCTCTTGTTTAACATCATCATAATAACACAGGTTTCATCTTCCTACTTGCAACAGTGCTTGAGATATGACAGTTATGCATATTAATGAGCTCCCATGACCATATATGGTCATCTGTTATTTTAATCAAATCTCTTGTTTAACATCATCATAATAACACAGGTTTCATCTTCCTACTAGCAACAGTGCTTGAGATATAACAGTTATGCATATTAATGAGGTTAGAAGCCCCCACCCCATGGGTGCCCGGTCACGTGCCCTAGCAGTGTGCTATCGGGGCAAAATGATGTATCTGATGACACAAATGCACATACAAAATTTGAAAGAAATCAGACTAATACAAAACATGTAGTTGCATAATTTCTATTTTCACAAAATCCAAGATGGCGGCTAAACCACGTGACTTATCGAAAATATATTATTTTTCTCTTATGGAGCAATGTTCAGGCATGTTATATTCAAAATCAGCAGTTAATTGGTTGAATCACCTCTGAGAAACAAATGCCCAAACGTTTGGTCAATTTTGCCTAAAATCCAAGATGGCGGCCAAACCATGTGACTGATCTGAAATCTTTTTTAGGTTTCTGAAAGAGATTGATATAGAGATGCTATGCAGCAATATTGATAACTACTTCCTGTTTAGAAGAAACCCAAAATGGCGGCCAAACCATGTGACCAATCATAATAATTTTTTCAAACCTAAATCTGCTTCATATATCGAAGCTAAGTACTAAATATGAGAGCATTTTACTTGGCGGTTCTGAAGAAGAAGATTTTTAAGTTTTTTTGCCGTTTTTAGGAAAAACAAAATGACGGGAAAAGTCACGTGACCGCTAAAGTTTTTATTGCTGATATCTATTATACATGAGTTGTACTATATACCATAAAAAAAATCTAGACGCCTAGACCCTCAGAAAGAAGAAGAAAAAACCGGACAGGCTTGGGCCCCTAATTATTTTACTTTGATGTTGTTGTGGTAGATTATTTTCAATATGGCAGAGGAGTTGAAGTATTCAGTAATGCATGTTATTCAGTTTTTGTAGCATTAAGTTATGTGCTTTGTCATTGCAGTCGGTTCTTGCTGATGAAAGTCTGCGTTATAGTGAAGCATTGTATTCATTTCTGATACCAAGTCCTAGCACAGAAACAGTCAAAAAGACACCAAGGTAAGCCACATAACTAATCTGTTTCTACCGTCCACAATGGCGTGACTGACCAGTCACTGAACATCTCTATTACCAAGGGTGTCACAATGTAGACCATTGAGAATTAGCATAATGGTACCTCAGATATATGTACCTTCAGAACAGCAAGATATACCAAAAAATCTGATCACATAACACTTGTCTAGTTTTGAAAAGTCCACACGGGTTGAAAGTTGAGTATCGCATCAAGTTCAAAATCTTCGGGGTCATTGCCCTGATTATTTATTTGAGCTCTTCAGTATTCATGTTTCATGACAAGACAATTCTAAACCACTGAAAACATTTGACTCAGTCATGTCATCTCACTTGCAAGACGTATTTAAAAAAAGATGTCAAAAATGTTTTGTGTACCGGGTATATATTTGTTTGACTTTTTCTATAAAGCACTCCAAGACATAATGTTCTAAAAATATAAAAATGATAGAACTTGCATTTGAAAAAATGACATTCAATGTCAGTTTCTGTTGCCTGGCACACACATTTTTGAAAAAAAAATAAAATAAAAAAAACTACAATGAGTCAACCAAATCAGGGGTGCTTTCAAAGTAAAGAATGTAAACTTGTGTTTTGATTCACTGGCCATTTCAAAGGATGTACCGTACATTTTATTATGTTTTTATATGTATTCAGACTCCCTTTAAATACCTACCATTCTCAGCCATGTGCTGCTCATCTCTATGATGTGTAGAAAGGAAATCAATACAATAAACCACATGAATAAAACTAGTGAGTCCATCATGTACGGATCTTGCAGTGTTCAAGTACAGAAAATACTGACTTTAAATACGAAACTTCATCTTATTGTTTGCAGTAAAGAGGAGAGAAAACCTGCCTTCTCCTTGGCAACTATATTCAAGAATCTCCCCGGTGATTTCTTCTCCCAGCAAGATAGTGAAGATAAAGAGGAGGAGGAGGGTGATGAAGAAAGGTGAATCTTGTTGCCTAGCAACTATTAAATTCCTTAATCAGATCATCTTCTATTTCTTACTAATTATTACTAAAAATGTTTGCTGTTTGTGTGATTTTTGATATTGCTGTATTCAGTTAAGTTGTATGACCAAATGAATATTTTTATTTATTTATTTATTTATTTATTTATTGTAATGTATTTATTTATTGTACTATATTGTTTTTCTACAGTGCTCCAGATAGACGTGATTCTATAGCGGAGCCTCTGTACGCTCTGATTGGTGAAATCTTTGAACTGAAAGGTGTCTTTAAGTGGTTGAGAAAAACTTTAATAGTATTTGTGCAAGTAACATTTGGAGGTACAATAAACAAGTGAGTGTTTCACTGATTTGTAAATAGCTCCTGCTACCCATATCTGAAATACACATCAGAAAAGCTATTGTTAATGTCGCTATTGTTAATTGTTCTCTTGAATAACAAAACTTTTGGAAATTATGATCACTGATGTTATGGGAGTGGCATTATCTTGAAAATTCTCATTGATCACAATTCTGAAGTTGGCTTGATTCGGATTTATATCCATTTTCAGGTTTACATTTGAGTGACTAAAAGTATTTTGCTTGTTTTTTTTTGTGCTAAAATTTGACAGACAAATTCGTGAGGGTGTCGACTGGGTCGTGTCTGAACCAATGTTGATCTACTACATTAATTATTTCCGTGATGCCATGTGGCCAAATGGAGAACCAGCTCTGCCATTATCTGTCAGAAGTGAGGATGACAAGATAACAACGAAGTTAAAAGCCAGACTGAAATTACTAAAAAATATACCAGGTGAGTTTATGACTGGAAGACATCTACTCAGATCTATAGGCAGCTGTGCAAATAGATGGGCACTTCTAATTTTCTAAATATCGTGGAATTTTTCTAATTTTAAAATTTCCAAACAAATTCTACTTTTTTTTCAGTGTTTTTATTGAAAAATTCTGATTTAAAACATTTAAAAGGAAATTTGTTCTGTGCACAATTTTTAAATCGTGCATTCGATGGTCAGAAACTTAAATATGTGTTGCTGGACCTTGAATCTGTTGCTTTCACATGCAAGACGAAGAAGGGAAGTGATTAAACAATGCAAGTGCCCTCAACATTATATACAATATTTTCTCTTGTTTTTAAATGTCTGATAAAAAAAATCTTCATTTAATAAATAATTTCCATTGTAACTCATTTGTAATTTATACTTTATATATAGATGCTATGCAGAATCTGCTCGGTAAGAGAAATAGTAAATTGGGAGCTATAAAGATTTTTAATGCATTTCAAGATGTGAGAACAAACAAACATCTATTTTATGTAAGTATAAACTCTGGACAGTTTTGATGAGTAATCTAGAATTTGTGCTTGGGGCATGCCTCCAATTTATATTTACATATTTTGAGCCACCGTAACACTCAGGGGAAATTTCATCATTTGAGTAACTTTTCTTTTAATATCATACATTTTGTCACTTGGAAGTATCCCTCTGAATGTTGGTTTATTGATTTATTTCAGAATTAGATCAAAGATGGCCGACTGGCAGCCATCTTGTTTTTTAAAAATGTCGTATTTTGGACATGCTTTGTCAGTTTTCATTCAAATTTAGTACATAGATCATACATGTTAGGGTACATGTCCCCGACCGTTCGTGAGTTCCTAAGTCTGTCCGTCCGTGTGTCCATCCGTCCGTGCGTCAGTATGTCCAGAGTCATATTTCAGAATCCTGTGGACCGATTCCGTTCATTCTTTGCATGTGCCTAGTACCTTATGTGGGACATATGCACATGCAGTGGTTTAGCGATTTGATTCAAAATGGCCAACTGGCAGCCATGTTGTATTTTGGACATGCTTTGTCAGTTGTCATTCAAACTTGGTACATAAATTATACATGTTAGGATACATGTTCATGATGATTTATTTCGCAATTGGATCAAAGATGGTCGACTGGCAGGCATCTTGTTTTTGTTTTTTTATGCGGTATCTTGGACGTACTCTGTCAGTTTTCATTCAAATTTGGCACATACATGTACTTCATACATGTTAGGATACATGTCCATGACAATTTGTTTCAAAATCTGGTCAAGGATGGCCGATTGACAGCCATCTGACTTTTTGGCCTTACTACTATATTTCCACAATTTATGTATCATTTTCATTCGTATTTGGCACATACATCATACATATCAGTGTGTTTCATAATCAGATCAAAGATGGCCGAATAACGGC